AAAAAAAAAAAAAGAAGGAACTATGTCAGTATTTCTCTCTGTTATCATCAATGAGAAAATGATGTGTCAGTTTATGTCGATTGCATGAGACAGGAAAAAAAACTATTTCTCTCTGTTTTTTTCGTCGCCATTACTGTGTTTACTTGCTCAAGAACTGGAATGTATTTGCGACAAATATACACCCACATACTATGAGATGTAAATGCTATGGAATAGAAGAGATAGAGAGGAAATGAATCATATTTATAAAAGGACTATGATTAACATGACAGAATTTTGTTTATATATATCTATGTGATTATATTGAATTTTGTTTTGCAGATTTCTGATTAATCATGACGATCGAACAGTTTCGAGATTGTTTTGTGGTAAGTTATTGATCATAGCATCAGCACTCAATTTTATTAATATTTTAGGGTGAAAAAGGCTATGATGCTTTAAAAAAACTAATGAAAGCTGGTAATGAATTATGTACAGATACCGCAAAGTGCTGGCAAGAACGGTAAGAAAAAAAACTCCTAATAGACATTAATCATACCAATTTTAATATATTTCTTTTTTTAGTTACGACATTGAAATCGCTTATGCCAAAGGTCTTCGTAAAAACAGTGAAACATTTCAAAAGCTTGCTGGTCGAGCAAAAGGGTATGAATAGAACAAAAAAATCTTATTAAACAAAAAATCTCATTTTCTATTAAATAAATAGATCTTTAGTGCAAGCATTTACAGCTATTGCTACACAAACAAATATTGAAAGTGAAGCACATAATGTAATAGCTAATGTATTACTTAATAAAATATCTACTCCAATGAAAAATCTTGCTGATACACAACTTAAAGCAAGAAAACCAGTAAATATGAACAATTTTTTGAGAAAAATTTAAATTTAAATTTTTTGTTTTCTCAAAGATTGAAGATGTATTAAATGCAAAATTTAAAGCATGGAAAGATAAAAAAGAAATCGATACTAAAGTAAAACTAAATATTTTTCATTGATATAAATTATAATTTTTATTTTAGTATCGTCAACGTCAATTTGAAAATTGTAAAGAAATCGAAGGATTATATCTTAAAATGGATGAAACTCCAAAAACAACAAAAAATTCCGTGAAAGAAGTTAGCAAGGTTAGCATACAAAAGAAAAAATACCTCTTTTTTTTCAATAAGAATATATATTATCATATACAGGAAGCACAATTGGTTACGGCTTGTATATCCCCTGGTGGATATCGCACAAATACCTCTGAAAAGGTGTGAGATGCGTATATAAGAATAATAATATTTGTTCTTGCACTACAGTTTCTTTTTCTCTTGCGCTTGAATTTAATTTAACTTCAAAGTTAGCAATTCCATAGAGATAGTTAAAGTCTCCTGAGAATGAATTTACCATTTAGGATGATTTATTCGAGTTGATATTTTTCTAATAAGAAGTATTTTTGATAAAAATTTCAACTCGATACATCAAATATCGTGTTCATAGTTGATATATAGCTCTGATAAGAATATTAATAAGTTTGTCACTAAAAGCTAAACAGAACACTGGATGACTTCTAATTAAAGTCAATATTTGTGTGCGTAGCTGTTTTATTCGATCACTTCAATTCATTTCAGTACACATAATTTGAAAAAAAGGAAAAAAAAACCTGTTCGAACAAAACTTTACTCTCATTTAGAAATTTAAAATGAAAAAATAAATATTGTTTCTATCTTGAATCGTTTGAGAAGCATTTCTATTTTTCTGATGGCAAACAATGTTTAGAAAAAAATATATTAATAAGATCGAAATTTCATCCGATAAGTCTTATCGTTTTGTAAAAAGACATATAAATATCTCGGAAGATAATATTTCAATGCATTTTCAAATGATTTAAATTCAATTTCGATATTTTATTTTTCGTAGAAGAGTTAGGTTTGTTGAAGTGCGGAGACCCTTGAATAAATAATATCATTCGCTATGACTAATATCTTTTTTTCTTGCTTATTTAAACATTGCATTAATAAGACAAAATTATTTATTCATGATTCATTTTGTTTTTCTTCATTATATTTTATTGATAAAACTATTATTTTCTATTGTCAAAATGAAATATTTAAATCATTTCATTTTCGTCTATAGTCATCTGCTAATCTTAGTGACAAGCATATATCAAATGTAAGAATTCTAATTAACATATGCACTGACTATTTTAATTTAATTTATAATCGCTGCCAACTGCTTTTATATTTATCAGATTTGATTTATTAATTTCCTTTTGTGTAATATTAATTTCTTAGTTATTAATAGGTTGTTTCTCTTTTTTTTGGTAAATAGATTGAAACATCACTACGAAAAGCAGAACAAGAATTAGAAAAAACAGAAAAAAAATATCATGATTCAACAAAAGATGTTGAATTAGCAAGACAATCATGTGATGCTGAAATGTGTAGAGTAAGTTTTCTTTTTTCATTTTGATTAGATTTTCAAGTCAAGAAATATTTTTTTTAGAGTTGTGATCAAATGCAAATGATGGAACTTGATCGAATAAATGAAATGGAAAAATTCATTCAAACGTATAATAATTCAATACAAAAACTTTGTGAAACGATGAGTCTAGTAAGTATTTAGAATTTTGTATGAGTAAGATTTTTATCAAAAGAAGCAACAGACTTTAAAACCTGTTGGCACATTGTCATTGAAGTGATTCTCACGGGATATATTCTTCGTTTTTTTTGTTAGAGAATAGGAAAAAAACAATAGGAAACTTTTGCTCATTATAAATATAGTATTATCGAATGTCATAATCTAGAAATTGATACTATTATTATTATAAAAAAAGTAATTTTTACAAGAGCTTTTGTCTCATTGTTTCCAGAAAATAGAAAGAATAAAGGCAGTAACAAAATTCTATATAAGGATGTGATTGTTATCATGCTGAATTCATCTATTTAAAAAACAACGAAATTATATGTAAACTAAAATTTATTCCGAGAAATCTGAAATAGTTTGTGTCTCTACTCTGAAATTTTCATTTGCAAACTCTATAGTACTTTTTGTATTGTTCAAGGAAACAGTTAGATAATATTGAGTTCATGTTTTTTGTTCTTCAATTACTTCAACATGAATAAAACAATTGTTTTCGTACGATTATTTATGCAAACATGAAATTCTAAAAAACAAAAAGAATAATAATAATTATTTTTTTTTTAAAGATAACACAAGAGTTATATTCCATCCGAATAACACCACAAGATGATATTATTACTGAAGGTAAACTTAATGTACAAACAACTGAAACAGAAATTCTACTATATGATATTTATGTATGTAAATAAATATAATCTTTTCTTCAAATAAAATATGTATATATATATATATTTTTTCTTTCTTAATAAAGGCTGAAAATGAACATAATGCAATGAGTCAAGAACGACGAATATTAAGTCTTATGCATTGGATACAAATGTTAAAACAAGATATTGAAATACAACGTCGATCAAAAGATGGTTTGTTTTCATATTTTGTTCTATTTTTTTAACACTGATAATTTCTCCTGCCTATGAGATGAAGAGAAAAAAACACAGCACGTCTGTTTTTTATTATAGTGAGTAATTTCTCCCCATTAAAATATTCTGAGGAAGAATCACCAGACGATAATCGAAGTTTATCAAGTGATGGAGCGATGTGTTCTCCATCCTCTCGTTCACAAAAAGGTATCATCTATATTGTATTTGTCTTCTTGTATTTCTATTGATGGTTGTCATTTGTTTCAAAATAAAAAAAAAAACAAAAAAATTAAATTAAATTAAATATTACCCTGCTCGATTGTATTAGATATTGTGGTTCATCGTAAACAGCATCAACACGGTTCATCGTCTTCCACGAGTGATGATGAAGATGGTGCTATGTATCATCATAAAAAAAGAGAAAATAGAAAAAGAGAGGGTATTTTCTTCTTCTTCAATTTGGTATTATTTGATATATGTATATATATATTGCACCCATTCTTTCATTGCTTGGGCACGATTGTTCGTCATGTTTGTCTCTTGATGCTTGTTCTATTTAGTTTTAAATCATTGTTTTTATTTTATGTTAAATTATTTCAGTATTGAATTTTTTTAATTTAGGTATTGAAAATTTACAAGGATTTTGTCAACAAAATCAAAAATTTTCAACAAGTGTTAATTCGAGTGAAATATCTGTTAATCGTGAAAGTGTAAGAATAGTTTTATTGAATATAATTATCAGTGTTTTTTTTTGTTTTTATTTTCTAATTTTGAAATTTACATTTTTAATTCAAGGTTCGTCTTCTACAATGTCTTTATCACGGAAGTTTATATAAAATGGAAGTAATTTATAATCAAATTAAACATTTACCTGAACCACAATATGAATATTCACAACGTTTTGCCAAAAGTTATACTGATAAAGTACATAAGAGTTTGATTTTTTTAAGAGAAATCTATGATAGAAGATGAAAATTTGAACATATTTAGTTATGTAAAATATAGATTAATTGCATTCTGATTATTTCAGTACAGAAGAGGCATATCTATTTTTTGAGTCGAAATTCGAAAAGAGAAAATCTTCCTACGTTAACTATTATTTTCTCTCAGAAGGTTCTGTAAAGATAAATCATCATATTAGTAGTATGATCTCTGGGTCAGGGATTTTCAAAACAGTTTTTCGTCTCGATTTCGAAAATTCTGAGGATGTGCAATTTCAACAAACTGTTTATCGAAAGCTTGCACTGATACACTGACTACACGACATATATTCACAAGGAACTGTGTTCAAACTTCAGTACCATCAACAATAGAATGATTGTGAACAAGTCACTAACGACTATTTGTCTTGTATCACCTATCCAATAGTATACTAACTATGCTATGACATACAGTTGCTCTTGTGGTTAGTTAGTATGTGTGGGAAGATCAAACGTTTGAGCGCAAGAACTCTGCGTCAGGCTGGCCTTCTGTTGAGAGAGTTACAGCTAGTCATAATTGTAGAGAACATATCGGGCTATCAAATCTATCGCTGTGTAGTCAGTAGGCCCACTGTCAGTATTATTTCATTACTCTAAAAAAATCCTATTAGAGTTCGAATAGATTGTAATGAAGAAATCTCTTTTTTTTTCAATTTTCTAGGGAACCCCAACAACTTTCCTTCGTATTCCATTTCAACCATTAAGTCAAAATACTTCGCCTGCTTTGTCTACTGCAAGCTATCTTGCACGGACAATGCCTGTAGTTCCTGCACCAGTTATGATGCAACAACCTGCACCAGTTATGATGCAACAACCTGCACCAGTTATGATGCAACAACCTGCACCAGTTATGATGCAACAACCTGCACCACCACCGCCATATCCAATTCACAAACAAGCACCAATAGGCTGGGCAATTAATGAACTTCCTAATGATCATCCAGCACAAGGTAATAAAAAAAAAACAAAATTTTCATTTATTTTTTATAATTATTCTGGACTTATTTAAATGAGTTTAGTAATGAAAACTATCTATTCATTATTATAGATTATAGAGTGTCTCCCAAAAATTTTACTTCCCCTGATGAAAAAAATTTTTGTAAGTTTCGACTAATACCAAACATTTGCTTTTGACACCAAAAAAAAATTGTTTTTCTTATATTCAAAAAACCTATTATGCTTTCGTCCTCCTTCTTCTTTTTGTTTTTCTATTCTGATCAATTCAGATCTAAGGTAGTTCCAAAATTTGCTCCTTAACAAAAAATCTTATATGCTTTGTTTGTTTTTGTATTACATTCTATTTAAATAATAATACATGCTTGCTTTTATTTTTACAAACAAATTCATTTAGGTGTACATTCAATGTGTAAGTTGAAATTATTGTGTTATGATTAATGCATGTTATTGATTTGCTTTCATAAATATTTTAATTGTGAAATGAAAATATTTTCAATAATGAATTTGATTTTTTTTGTTTTTTTCTTATGCAGATAATCGATCAGTAGCACCAACACCACCTTATCCAGTTCTTCCGAATGTAATGACAGCATCAACAGACTCTCAACGACAACAAACAAGTAAACATGTTAAAGTATTACATGCTTATGATGCACAACATGATGATGAATTAAGTATACGACCAGGTAAAATTGAATTTTTTTGCTTTTATTATAATTTGATATGAATTATTTCAGGTGATACTATTGTATTACTTGAACGTCGTTCTGATAATTGGTTTAAAGGTATTTTGAATGGAAAGATTGGTTTATTTCCAGGCAATTTCGTACAAGAATTACAAAATGAATACTAGTCTTTAATTTTTAAAATTTTTGTTATTTGATAATCGTCTTTTATTCGTCTCATAATGTTTGAAGAACAGTGGTGGTGAGCAGAAATTAATTAAACGAATGGATGATTAAAAGGCGTGAAGAAAATCATGTTTTTTTTTCTTTTTGTATTTGTCATGTTTGTGTGTATTTATTATTATTTTGTTTTCTTTCTTTGTTTACGTTGAATATACATCTTGAAATGGATTTCTATATCAAGGAAAATTATGATCCAAAAAAAGGAAATAGATCTCTGTGAGATAAATCATTTCTTTTCAAATAATGAAAAAAATCTTACGAGAAAATTTGCTATGTTATTCGTTTCAATCATCATAAGATTAAGTGACTATTTAGAAGTCATATCATCAACTATTAAATCATTTTAGAGTTTTGCTTGTTATTAAATGTGACTAATACACTCCGAAACACTTTTTTCTTCTTTAAACTGATACGTAGTATCTTTACTATGGAAGACAATAATTGTCGACTGATATCTTTTCATATTGGAAATTTTCATCCAATTACAGAAAAATTTTTGAAAAGGCAAAGAGCGTAATTTTCGTTTAAAAATTTGCCACATTACTGTTGTTTCCATTAATTACGAAATGAAATAAATGGTAGATTTTGACATAATTCACTCAATGATGATTGTTAATAATTTAGACATACAAACTTTGATTATTTATTTGCTTTGTTTTGAATTGTTTGATACAGCCATATTTTTCGTACTTCATGACAACATATGTTGTATATGAATTTCTTTTTTGTGATCATTATAAAAAATCATATGATATCCGCTCAAAGTAAACATTTCCTATATCGGCTGTGAAATGTTGTATATGAGAACATAAAATATTTTAAATGATGTTTCTGTAGAAACTGAAAGCCATGAAGATTAATGACTAGACTAGCGATCTGTTCCAACAAGGTGTGTAACAGTTCAGTACTAATACCAATCTGAGAAATTATTCAAAGGTTCTTCTAATAGGAATTACTCTGATCGAATAGTTCTCGTTTATTATAGATCTTTTTCAACCGTAGTTTTAATAAGATTGGAATTAGTTAATTTAGGTTTCGATAAGACCTGATTGACATAAAACTTTTTGAGAGGTACATGGATATGGTGTCTGAAAAGTTCTGAGGATAGTCAATATCAAATGAAAAGTATGAAATTCAAGATTATAGATTGGTAAGTTGCAATGTCATACTACTTCGACTTGATGCGATGCGAAATTTAACAACATTTTCGTCTTCTGATGATATGGTTCCTCTTTTTTAAAAATACAGATAAATCTAGAAAAACGAGTTGATTCTCATTAGTGTTTTGCATTTTGACATTGTCTATATGTTTTCTTTTTCGCTATAGGTAATGTCATAAAAAACGATATAGGAATTGAGATGTATGTCAATGACAAAGCTCATGGAATTTGTATGCGTTTGTAAATAATTATGTTATATTGCATACGATCGCATTATGGCAATTTTATAGCCCACTATTACGATCATCTATCTCCGTAATTGAATATGCAGTAATAGGATCATATATGAATCAAATATTAAGTAAAATGGAGATTGTAAATGACACTCGTGTAAAAAAATAGTAAACGAACGTTTTGGCATTCATAAATTGTTGTATTTCTTTGTATAGAAGATAGATATACTATTGTTATTTTCATCCATATAAACCATCGTCTCTCAATATGTACTTGTTTACGTTTTCTTTTGTTCAATTTGATTGTTTAAAAACTTCACCAAAAAGTCGCTTCTCAATGCATTGTTCTGACGAGACGGAATAGAGCGTATATGTAAAAAATGGGCGAAATCAAGTTGATGTTCAGCTAATTTTTTAACTGCTCAAGAAATCTCTGTTCAAGGCTTCATGAGACTTTTAAAGCTAGGTGTGAATCTTCAATTCATTCACATCCTTATTTATTTATTGGAAATTCAGAAAGCTTAGTTATCAATGCGAGACGAAACACATTTTATTCCTATAAAACTCATTTGCAACTGTACCAGTTCTAATCCTTCTTGAAACATACAATTAAATGTTATCCAAAACGGCTGGATGTTCAAGTTCTGCGTAAAACAATAAGTAGGTGATAAGCAAACAACAGCATTATTTGAACACGGTATGAGAAATGATACGAATTTCGGTGAATTTGATACTATGAAAAAAATGGCTGAAACAATGGGAAACGAGTGATTAAAAAACTACTTTTGACTCACCAATACAAGTATTAGACTTTTAACAAGATTTCATTCAATAAAATAAAAATTTTGGTCGTAGAACTTCATAATAAACATAAACAGTGTTACAATTAGACAAAAAATGACACAAAGTTCGCAAAGTATATAAATACATAATGTTTTTCTGATCGTGTTTCTAGTTAAATAATGAAAATTTCTACATAGAAAAGAAAAATAATGATTTTTTTCTTATCCTTTTATGCTAATTTATTGCTCACCAAAAGAAAATCGTACAATATCAAATATAAGTATCCATCTAAAAGGGATCTTTAGCATAAACCCTCAATTATTATCAATAAACATAAACCATTAAAAGAAAAGAAACATTCAAATAATTATCTACAAAAAAAAAAAAAAATATTATTTTATATAATGCAATATATTATTTGTCTCTATATTCAATATGTTTCAACGTATTCTGCTCAAGTAGTATTCTAAAAGTGATTCATGTTCGCGTAACACTCATTAGTTTATGAAAGTGAATCATTTTGCAGAAACACTCAGCTATATTCATAGAGAACTTTAGATGGATGAATATTGTTTGCTAGACTCTAATGTCTCGCACCTACACGCTTGTGAGAGTCTGCAAGTGGGAAAGTAGCTAAGAGTCTTCTCTTTATCCATATCCACGCCCTAGTTCTTCTGAAACATTGACTACAGTACTGTCAAATCTGGAGAACTCATTGCTGCATTTTCGCCCATCTTCCCAATTCAATCATATCGATGACACTAGCATGGAAGATTTATTAAAATGTGATGCCCTACAAGAAATTACAGTAGACGGATAGTACTAACTACCAATGTTTAACTTGAGTCAATGGTCTATAGTGAGATTGAATATTATTTGGAAGGTCTTCAATTGGTCTTGATTTGGTTTAATTTCTTTTGTTTTTCGTTGTCTTCAACGCGTTTAATGTATTTGTCATGTAATGATGTGAACAGAATTAAGGAAACGATGGAACCAATCAAGCAACAGAACATATCACTTTGAGTATCCCACACGTCACCTTGAGTACCAAGGAAAGCATCTGCTGCTTCTCCCGTTGCTTTTGCTACTACCCATTCAATTAATTCATATTCAGCCGAAAAGCTTAACGTAATCGAGACACACACAAATGCTAATAACAATGGGCGAGCTTGAATGATCGCTCGTCTTATTAATACTTCACGTACGATCAACACCGGTATAAAACCTTGCGCAAAATGACCAATCTTATCGTAATTATTTCGTTGCATATGAAATACATCGCGAAGACGATTAAAAAATGGAACTTCGGCATAAGTGTAATGGGCACCGATCAAGAGAATCACGCAATGAACGAAAACAAGCAGTTGTACAAGATTCGTAAATTGGAAATGCGGCGAAACAAAGATCATTGCCATGACGCCGAGAACAGCAGGAAGAATTTCCAGAAACCAAACAAATTGATCATGCGGTTTAATGGACGAACGCACCAAGATAATGCAGAATGCTAGGAGCAGAAGTACTGCAAGACGCCGAGAAGCTGGTGGTAGCATATCTAAAGACATAAAATTTGTTTATACGTTTCTTTCTCTTCTTATTCACAGGTGTTTCTTATTTTCGAGTTCATTGTCTGTTTCTCACTCATATATATCAGTTCTAGAAACAAATAGACAATGGAAAATGAATCGTAATTTCGAGCAAACTAGTGAAAGTGACACAGAGAACTCATTTCATCATCAACAAAGAGACAAAAATGTGCGAATGTCTGAAAGAAAGGAAGATGATGATCGTATCAAACAAAAATAAATCCAATATATGCATGTATACGGACTCCGAGCAACAACTGATGATATCTGTAATCGAGCAAGATAATGAAGTAGAAAGCAGGTGAAATGACGAGTGAAAAGTGAGTATATACAAGAGAAAGAAACAAGAAAAACTCATCTTAGAAAAAAAAGCGAAAACAAAGACAAAATAGGCTCACTACGACATGTACGGAAACAAACGTCAGAAGTAAACGAAATCCATGATACGAAAGCACAGAAGAAACAAAGACAAAGATGTGGAATATATGAATTTTGATCGTATCACTGTCTTGACACTTGTAGAGGGAAAAGGAGATCGCACATAGAGACAAGTCACTGTTCAGATGGATTGTTTGTTTTCTTTGTGAAAACAAAAAGCATCCGAACACGGCGAGAAAAAAAGCATAAAAGGTTTCTTTGTTATTTTTATTGCCAATCAATTTGTTTGTAGATGGGTTTGTGGTGGTAGTTGTTGTTGAAAATGTACTTACTAGTTTGATGAACTGTTATCGTCATCATCAATGGCTCCGTCATTCGTACTGTCATCTTCCGCACTGTAAAAAAAATCCTAGAATAATAAGTTGCAGAGAGTGGATGTTAGTATGGCTGTGGATAGATGCGTGTAGCAGGGTGAATGACAGTAGGCATATGAATGTGTGTGCATAGGTTAGAGCGTCGGTGAGGGTACACAAAGTGTTCGCACTTACACGCACGTCTTCTATGAATTGAAACGTCAGCAACTTGTTTTTGAAGGCAGGCTCAGTATGTGTGCGTAGGAGCCACAATGAGTGAATCAAAACCAAAGACAAGCGAGCTAATTTTTTTCTTGACGTCTGAATCATCGACACAATTTGAGCTATGTTATTTATGTTTCCGTCAAACTTATCCGACATTGAATCGATTGCATTCCAGTTGCAATTTTGTGAAAGAATGTTGAATTTTTCGTAGAAGTACCAGGTGTTTTGAGAATGTATGATGTTATGAGCTATTCCTATAATGATCCGTTCAGAATAATTAACTTTTCACTATGTATCGTCAACATTGAGTGGTCATTGACATTCACTGAACTGAAGCTTATGCTCGCCGTCAAACTCATTTCGGAGAATAGGTACTGGTTCATTTTGGTAACGGCAAGTATCATCCTGGGTTTATACACAATGATGATAATGACGACACATATACATCAAACTGGCTCTTACACAAATAGGATCACTTTTTTCTTTATTTTAAAAATGGCGTAAGTGTATCGAGAAAAGTATTTCCATTGTACTCAGCTTCTGTATTTATCAAGTTTAGCCAAGAATAAATAAAAATGTTATGTCTGACTTGAAGAGAACCAAGGAAAGTTGTGTCATACACTGATATATCGAAACATAAATACTACGTAGATGAAGTGATCACTGAGTGAAAGTCATGAAAAGAGGAACAGCTTCGTACATTTCTGCCAAATAATAAATTGTATGATCAATTAAATTGCAACTAGAAGAAAATCGAGAGAAAAAAACAGATACGGTTAGAGGACGAACATCAAATATACTACGCCAACAAAAAAAACGATGTGATTCATTGGCAACATAACGATGTATATGCCTAGATTTCCCTGAGCAAGAAAAAAATGTTCTCATGTTGTTGATTCTGTTTTTTTTTCTTCCTCGTTAGTGATTCATTGCTATCTTCAATAAAGACAGGAAGGCACAGAAACGAAGAACTTATTTCATGCAATCGAGAGTTGTGCAGACAATCTATGTGATGACACTGCAGAAATCGAGCGAACGAAAGAAAAGGATATGTGAGACGCACAAAAAAAATTTTGTCGTGTTTGTTTTGTATACATAGTGGGCTAAGAAACGCATATAGACAAAAAAAAGGAGAGGAAGAAAAAAATGGTAGTCAGCATCTTAAAGAAGAGAACACCATAGCATTTAGTCGACGCTTTTATTCTCACTAAATAATGCACCATATGTTTGATGATAGCTAAGATTTTTCAAGACACAGAACAAAAGAAACACATACGCTGAAAGGCATTAACTAAAGTGTTTTTGTTCTAGTCGTTGTCAACGATCAATATATAATGATTAGCAACATGAATGAAGCAAAAAATACTGAAAAAGAAATTTTCTATGTCGTAAACTTGCTTTTTGTCGATATCGATGACAGTGACGACGCTTCTTTTTGCGCTCTGTTGTTTTACAACGATAGCATACACACAAACAGAAACGGAGAACTGAAAAAAAAAAAGAAAACGCGTAGTTTTATCTGACTTTATGTTCTTCATTAGGCTAAAGGAGAACGATGCAGTAAGGGAGAGAAAAAAGAAAAACATGCAAAAAACGACATAAAAGAATTGAGACATAAAATTCATGTAGATAGTGCAAACACTAAAGAACTCTATGAATAAAGTTAGACATGTTCATTGTGGATTTCTTTTTCTTTCTGACCTCCATTTTCTATCCTTTATTTTCTGAAGCATCAATACGCATGTAGTGGCTATTCAGCGAAAGAGTAGCAATGCTCGACACGAAAATTTGATCAATATGCCATGTCAAGTGGCTCTTACTTTCAAGTTAAGTCGACGAAAACAGATCCGAACAGTTATTCGATCTCAATCAGAAAACGCATATTGTTTGATGAAATTTTGAGAGGAAAAAGACAATGCGATATGAATTCATGCAGAAAGAAAACGTACAGTATCGAAAAAAGTTTTCATGAAATTTTATTTTAGCTTTATTAGACACATCTCTCCTGGCCTATGGACAAGAATGAAGAAAAAGTAAGTAATAAAACAGTCTCTATTTCACGCATGACTTAGACAAATTCATTCAGTTGATTGTGTTATACAAGTACTTTGACTTCCTTCTTTTTCTCTTTTCTTAAGTTTCATAACTGAAAATTGAACAACAAGACCATCAGTTGCTCCATCCGATGAACCAATTTGGAGCGAGGCTTTACAAGGTCGACTTCTTCCGTAATGATAAAATCGCTAACATCTTCTCTAGTTCTTTTTCGCATCACACTATTGCTTGTCTGTCTTGCCCATGGAAGTAACAAGTTGCATCGTTTTTTCACTCATTGGATCCATTCGTCTTTCTAATTCCACACATGAAAAAGCACGCAACACAGGCGTTGCGTGCATAGCTGTTTAATCTTCTGGTTGATCATATGTTCATTCAAACAAAGACCTATTGTATACCCTAATATGTATAGACGACTAGGTATTAGAGGAGACAAAAAAAAGAGAGAGAAAGAGAACACCAAGAAGAGAATACACATTGAAGACAAAATGTAATCAAATATTACCATCACATATCATAAAAAACAGCCCTTATCGAAATTTTTTTATTACGATATTAGTTGAAGAGTGATCATGTATTAGAGGAATGTAGAGCACTGTTTTTACTAGCAGATCATATAAACAGAAAATTTCTTTAAACTTTTTATAAAGAATTGAAAGACCTCCGCCACTACTTTTAGTATGTTCCAAATGAAAAGCACAATTAAAAAGATATCATTGGTGATCGACACCACAAATATTGATGTGAGGGAAGCAGAAGATACGGTGTTGAATGTTCGAAAGAAATCTTGATATTCATCACTGTCAAGCTGAAAAGAAATATAGTCTTACATTGCTGTATAAGATAGAAGTAAAGAACGCAATCGCAAACATGTCATATACATGTGACAAAATAAACGTCGACACGGTTAATGAGGCAAGCAGGTATGCGAATATTTGAAAGAGCCTGAGGTGTCTATCACTGTCAAACAGAAAAGATATACATACTTATCTTGCTATACGAAGTATAAGTCAAAAAAATGACACTCGTAAACATGTCATACACGCATGACAAAATAAACACTGATGCGATTGACGAAACAAGCAATCATACGTATATTCCAAATAGACCTTGATATCTATCATTGTCAAGTAGAAAAGAAATATATTCTCTTATTGTGCCATATAAAAAACAAGCAATTATCCCATGTAAAAAGTTATATAAAAACCAAAAAAAACTCGATTATAATAAAAAAAAATAATCAACGATATCGAAATTTCATCGATTATTCTGATTATTTTTTATTAAAACCAATTTAAAATTGTGCAAACAAATCATTTTTAATCAATTTTTGTGTGATTATAAGCGATTTCTTTATGATTATGAAATCAGCTTCAATCAAAAGTAATCCTAATCATCGCTGAAACGTTGATCTCTTTGATTATTTTTTTAAAATTAGAATCGATTTAGAATTGATTTTTTGCATGGGTACAAGCATACCATACCAGAGACGAAAACGAATAAGAAAATCTTCAGTCAGATTCGATTCGATTTGACTCACGTTGTTACAAAAAAATTAGAATGGTTCTTGCTGGCGCTAAAAGAGCTCGATGTTGTCGAAAAAAAAGAAGGCAACAGGATTGAGCGAGAATGTGAAACAAAAAAGATAAAACACGTAAATAATTAACTCGTTCAAAAATGTCTTCATCTCAATTGACAACATTACGTTTAGATCAACAAGTTAACCTTCAGAAGTTTCGTCCAAAAGCAAAGATAAATTCGGCTCGTCTAGCAATACATATGTCATTTTTTGCAACAAAACATGCTAAGTTCAAAACATGGAACAAATTTATGACTGTATTACCTATAAATAAAAATAAACAAACTGAATTGATTCAAAAATAACAGAATTTAAATGTTTTGAAATTAGACAAGAAATATGACCGTGTTGAATAATCTTTACTAACAAATGTAAAGAATAAAATTTATGAATTTTATTATTCTGATGATATTAGTTATCAAGCATCGGAAAGAAAGATACAATTACTATTAAAGAAAATGCTATAAAGAAATTACAAAAACGTTATTTGTTATTTCTTACTGAAATGAATCAAATGTTCATCGAAGAAAATCCAGAAACTAAAGTTGGTTTATCTAGTTTTCAAGATTTAAGACCACGGAAAGTTTTATATAAATCATCAACTTTACATCATGTTTATGTTTGTTCATATCATGAGAATATTGTTCTCCTTTTAAAATCATTCAATGAACATGTACATAGATTAAAATCAATCGATTGGAATTCTTTTATAAAATTAATCGTATGTGATGACACAAATGAATAATATATGTTTAGTAATTGTAAAAAATGTGCTCCTAGTTTTAACCTAAAAATTCAAGATAAAATTATAGATTTGATATTGATAATTAAATAGACATGGTGGTCCACATCACCAGAAAGTAGAGCAATAAAAGTCAATTATAATAAGGCAGCAATCCAAATTTTTTGAAATAATTAAAGAAAAAGTAACTGACAAACGTTGTTCACTTTAAATTGACTGCTCCGAAAATTATTTTGTTGTTGAACAAAATGAAATACAAAGTACTCCTCGGTCAAAAAAGCAATTGTCGATATTTACTGTTCATTTATTGGCACGATCAACCACTTACGTATCCCTTTGTCATAATAACAGACAATGCATCACATAATAAATATACGGTTTCAAAACGCATTGAACATATTCTAATATGTTTACAGTTATTAATACAATCATTGGAAGAGTTGATTATATTTAGTGATGAAAATGTTAGTCAGTTTAAACAGCAGTATTTATTTTAAAATGTATCATTTTTGGCTAAACAATTTGATATTCCATTATCGTGGCATATTTTTGCAAGTAACCACGGGAAGGATAAGTTAAATTGAAGAAAAATATGGGAAATAACTCTGGCAGATAAATAAAGAGAACGTTTTTTTTGAGATGATAATTGATTAATTATGAATGATATTGAGAAAGTAAAACAAAACCAAGAAGTTGGCCTTTAGTGTTTCTGAAATGCTGTTCTATAGTCGCTTCATTCTTGTTCTCTCAAAATCTTTGAGAACGATAAAATAATTGATACATAACGCATTTTTTGAATTTTTCTAGGAGTTGTCGACGGTATCAGTGGAACAGTGGAACGAATAGTTTACCAAGATGTTATGGTTGGTAAATGATGCAAAAATGCAATTGATTTTGTACAACTGAATAGTTGTCCACTTCTAGTATGATTGTTATTTTGTTAGTGTTTTCTCACATGATATATTATTAGAAACTACTGTGTGTTTTGTTTTTGTTATAATAAAAAATGAACTACTTGGATCATAAAACATGTTAACCGCGGAAAAAAAATAAAATTCCATAATGCTTGGTTGTGCGGTCAAGGATCTTTTAGTTTATCCATGAGTTCTACTCTAGTTGTTAAAGAACACTGTTAAGATTATGTACATAATTGTATAATAAATGTTCATTATAATTCATCTATATAGTACAATTAACTTTTAAGGATTAGCGTATCTGAGAATGCATTTTGATCCCTTTTAATTTTCAAGATCTTGTCTAATTGAGGTATATTCAGGGATGACATAGCAGGATTTTCCACTCATTTTGATATTCACCAAATGTAACATGGGCAGTTAGCCTTTGATGATAGTCAACTGTGCAAACATTTCTTTGAAAGAAAACAAGTAGAGATGAAGCATTATGTAAAGTTGTATTTAATAGATCTTTGTTCATGCTACGTTCTCTTGTAAATGCCAGTCATTTAGAATTCTACATCATGTTTGTCTAGATCCTCCATTTCTTAGACTGTCATCTTATATTTCACACATATTGTATATGAATTACAATGATAAAAAAAAAAGTAAGTCACACAATGAAAACTTAACCCACTATTCTTGAGATCTACTGTGAAACTTTTCCACTGATATTTGATATTGTTTTATATAGAATAGTTTCCCTTCGATTCCAAAAAATATCATATTTATAATCAGCGCAAAAAACAAACTATGTAATCAACTTATGAACATTTCATGTTTTTTTTTCTGTCATCTCTTTCAATCGAATTTTATGCCTACTCCTCCACACAGACATTTAGAAAAGGGATTGAATTGGAACATCTATTTTATCGTTTAATCATCTGTCTGTCTTCAAACAGCATTTTATAAGTTTAAAACTTGCTTTCGTCTGTCCGAATGAATTTTTCACAAAATTCAGTTTTCAGATATTTCTAAGGCAATCACAGGTAAAAATTTGATGGAAAAAAAGGTAGCTGAAAAAACACGGAATGCTCATAAATCGATTCGTTTGCTTTTTTTGTGCTGATTATAAATATGATTGTATTTGAAATCGAATAGAGATTATTCTATATAAAAAGAAAAACATCAAATATCAGTGGGAAAAAGTCATAAGTTGGATCTTAAGAATAGTGGACTTAAGATTTCGCTGTGTGGCTCTCTTTCTTTAGAATTGTAATTCACATATGATGCATGTAAAACATAAGATGACAGTCTAAGAAATAGAGGATCTAGATAAAAATGATATAGAAGTCTAAATGAATGGTTTTTTAAACTGTTACTTTTAAGTAAGTAAATATTATTGAATAACGAGTAGATGATGGTGGATCAATGGCAGATCCTGTTTAAATCTAGTCTTGTGAAAATGCCTCATATTAAAATCAAAATAATCAGGACGGGAAAGTTTATTAATTCAAATACGACTGAATTAAACTTAGCAACGGAAATCACGACAGGCCAAAATATGTTCGTAAACGCACAGCTCTTTCCTACTCTAAAATTTTTACAAGGCTCTTGATTTGAGATTACAGTGGTTCTTCAAAATGTGAAAATGTGAGCGTATACTCATTTTTGGGACGTGAGGGATCGTGAGAGTGAGTATTTTCGTGTGCACATCACCTGTTCACTCATACCCACACGCAAACATCCACGTCTATACCACCATCTGAACATTCTATCAGAGAGATTAAATTAATGATATTTTAAAAATATTTTTATGCATTTACTTATTTTTCATTGTTGGTAGAAACATTATTTTTTCTTATTGTTATTTGTACCAGATATTAAAAAAAACGATAAAGAGAAAAATCTTTCGCAAACATTAAAAAAATGTCTAATTACAACTAATCTTAAACGAGTAAAGAAATTACATATATGGTTAATCATCAAAAAAAAGAGACTAGATGAAATAAGAGAATAAAACAAAAAAAAGTTTATCTCGAAGAAAAAAAGACAACTAAATTCTCCAAGAATAAAAATCTTTTTGTTTTCTTCGTCTTTCCCAATGAGTCTCTAGAAATAAGCAGATGATTTTACTGAACTGTTGATATTGTTTTTGCAAATGTAGTTGTATAAATATGTTGTTTGGTTGTGATGTATATTTGCGAAAGTACCCCTTATCCTATTTCTTGTTTCCTTTGGTACTAGTGGGAACAGCCCCTTTTGCTGTTTTGCCTAATGTCGATGCTTTCTTTTCTACATCCTTGATAACGCCAACAGCTACGGTTTGTCGCATATCGCGTACAGCAAAGCGACCCAATGGCGGATAATCAGCAAACTTTTCAACACATATTGGTTTTGTTGGAATCATTTTAATCATAGCAGATTCACCTGATTTGATAAATTGTGGAGCTTCTTCAATAACTTTACCTGTTCGACGATCAACTTTTGAAATTAATTCAGCAAATTTACATGCAATATGAGTCGTATGACAGTCGAGTACAGGTGCATAACCTTGACCAATTTGACCAGGATGGTTAAGCACAATAACCTATATGAAACAAAAGTAATAGATTTTAGAGAATGAGAAAGAAAAATAAATTTACTTGAGCAATGAAACTAGAAGTTTCTTGTGCCGGATCATTTTTTGAATCTGAACAAACAAATCCACGTCGAAGATCTTTTACACTGACTCCTCGAATATTGAAGCCAACATTATCACCAGGTAAAGCTTCTACAAACAAAATAAAATTATGTAAATATCGAAAAAGAAAAAATAAGACAATTTACCAGTAAGATCAATATGGTGCATTTCGATCGATCTGACTTCTGTCGTTATATTCGATGGAGCAAAATTGACTGTCATATTGGGCTTAAGTATACCAGTTTCAACTCGACCAACGGGCACTGTACCAATTCCATCGATTTTGTAGACATCTTGTAAGGGAAGACGAAGTGGTTTTTCGGTTGGACGCTGTGGAGGCATAATAGCATCAAGAGCTTCCAACAGAGTTTTGCCTGTAGCATTACCTCCCTTACGTTCAACTGACCATCCTTTATACCAAGGCATATTTTCTGATGGTTCAATCATATTATCACCTTGCCATCCTGAGATTGGAACAAAAGGAACACTTTCTGGTTGATAACCAATCTTTTTTATATATGTTGATACTTCGTTTTTGATTTCATTGAATCGTACTTCTGAAAATGGTGGTTCTGTAACATCCATTTTATTGACAACAACAATCATTTGTTTGACACCTAATGTGTATGCAAGTAAAGCATGTTCACGTGTTTGACCATTTTTCGAAATACCAGCTTCAAATTCACCTGAACCAGCAGCAACAACTAAAACAGCACAATCAGCCTAAAAGAAAATACATACATACTTAAATAGAATAGAGAACAAAGAAATAGATTTCATACCTGTGATGTACCTGTAATCATGTTCTTGATAAAATCTCGGTGACCCGGTGCATCAATAATAGTAATATGATATGCATTGGTTTCGAATTTCCAAAGTGAAATATCAATGGTGATACCACGTTCTCGAGAAGCTTTCAATTTATCCATAACCCAAGCATATTTAAATGAACCTTTACCTATCTAACAATCATTTAAAACATATAGTTACATAAATCTTATCAAAATAGAAAAAGATATTCTATACTTCGGCAGCTTCTTTTTCGAATCTTTCAATCATTCGTTTTTCGATACCACCACATTTGTAAATCAAATGACCAGCTGAAGTTGATTTACCAGAATCCACATGACCAATAATAACAATATTGATATGTGTCTTTTCTTTACCCATAATGATAAATCAAAACTTTGATAATATTCAATAAGAATGAAAATATTCTAATATATAGATCAATACTATTTGAAATTGTAAAGAAAGAATAACAAAGTCTTGTGCAATTTATACTGACATGAATTATATGACAAATGTTGTGTAATAGAATTACGAAAGATCATGCGAAATGATGATAAATTGTGAAATTTCACTTTAATTAATACGAAAACGTAGCAATCATTGCATCATCTAAAATTTTACCTTGTTGTTTAATATCAATGGCAAAAATAAATTTATCAAGTTTTCAAAGTTTAATGTAAAAACCCATGTGCACAATCTGATGAATTTATCGTCAAAGGTTGCGTAAGAAATAAATAGAAAAAATATTCAATGTAATTACACATTATTTTTTAACATTGTACTATTCGAGCTTTTTTATAGAACGAATAGAAAAATTATAAAAAATAAATTAAAAGCTGATATACACTTACTTTCTTAAGTTATTATTAATGTTGTTGTTGTTGTTGTTGTTAAATAATTTATTAGAGTTTTAAAGAGAAATTATATTAGGAAAAGATTGAATGATAGTTTTTTTTCAAGCATTCAACTTATCAAATTTTTCTTTGTAACCGATAAATCAAGTTCATTTTATTATGTTTATAGTAATATTTTTGTGAGCAATTATTTCAGATTCTTAAAGTATAATTAGATATTTGTCAGTGTCGATAGCTACTACACTCAAATATTGAAATTTGTGTTAAAGAGGAAATCGGAGATTGATTTTTTTAAAGTATATATCTTTGTTTAACTTTTAACTTTGATATAATAAATAGTTATATTCTAAGAAACAATCAACTTAAAAAAGAAACGATGTACACTCATTTTAAAAAAATCGAAATATACGTTAAACAATTCGATTTAATAAGCCATAATTCAATCTTATCAATCATACACGAATATCAATTTTCTATTAAAAGATTCAACCAATTAAATTAATAAAATAGTTAAAAACGAACTTGAATGTTTATTTGGAAAATCTAAATAAACCAATAGAGTATTACAACCTCAGTCGTTAGATTTCAAAATTTTGCATTGATTAATATATATCTCATCAGTTAGTTATCGGATCAGCTGGCTCTCTACGGATTAGACAGAGCCTATACAATTTGAACCGGACAAATGCTGCTGATAGATCACTAAGTATAATATGCGCTACTTCTGCGGTATTCCGCCAGTCAACTGACCGTAGTTTGATACTTAAACGGTTGTCTATTCTCTGACTGTCGGTATATCGGCAGTAGACAAACAAACATGCGACATGAGAAGATTCTAAAATTATAATAAGGGATTGTTATCGAAAAATCTTTAAGCTTCAAGGAGAAGTTGATTCTTTTTAATCTGTCAGGCAATGAGAAAGCATTATATTATCATTGATAGGTTTTATCATATCATTGTCATTGACTCATACTGAAGTATTTGGTATTGAGAATCGAATTTCTAAAACTATGATTATTATGGTATATTGTTCATGTGTTGTTTATTACGATTTTGCTCATCAACGAAATGATCGTGTTTACTTATAATATCGAAAATATTATGGATAGAAGACTTTTTAGTGTTATCTCCATTTATATGTCTATCGATCAAATCTCTAAATACGCCAAAGAAGTAATATGCATTTTATCTATATAAATTTAGTTCAGAATATCGGTTGAAATTGATGTTTTCATATTTCAAATTGAAGTTAAATCTTTTCAAAATTCATTAAATTCAAGTCATTATAGTACTTTCTTCATATAGAACTAAATTCTAGTCGACGGGTTTATTCAATTTTACACTGATGAGAAACTTTGTATCGTTGACGATCGAAAACATTCGACATGTATTATGAGAAAGTATCGCCTTGTTTTCGCAAACTGATGAAATCATAGAGATGATGTATTTCATTAACAATCTTAAATATTTTCAATACTTCAAAAGTCCTTCAAAGACTTCAAGTATCTTCGCAAGATTTGATAAATCTTCAAGAATTATAGTCTCTGCTGTTTTTTCTCCTCGTACTTGATGCATCATAAGTTTTATGAAATTTAATATAAAAAATCATTTCGAATAAATAACGATTTTTTGACATATCTTCTTACGGATTGATTATCATGTTATTCTTGTTATTCTCTCTACGATGAAGTAAAAAGTCTAATGTAATAAAACAGTTTTTTTCCTATTCTAGGCTTTTCTCGTACATTGAGTTGACGTGAATTATGACTCTTGATTACCATAGTAAAAAAAGAGTTTTGAAAACTGGTGTTCATTAGTATCGTTGACAAATTATGTTAAATATGAAACATTCAAAACTGAAATGAATTTTCAGACTAATTTCATTTTATGTACCAAGATGATCTATTGAAGATATTTGTAGATCTCATTTGTCTTTTATGTAACAATTCAATCAAAAATTCATGAATTCATTTGTAGATCTTTCAACAAAAGATAAATAAGAAATTGGTAATTATGTTTTTATTTACACGTTTACATTTTCTTTAATCTGTTGTTCATCTTTAAACGAATGTGTAAAATTCAAAAAGAAAAATATTCGAATGTTTGTTGAAGATACTTTCTTTATTAAATCATTTCTTAATGTTTATCAATAATATTTTATTCATAAAATATTATGTGTGGTTATTCTAGAGAAAATGTTTGATAAGAAATGTTTCATCTCATCTGTGAACAGAAGTTAACGAGACGATACAGATATTTTATTACACATGTTCATACTTAACTGAAATTGAATATTTAGAAATTAATCGAAGTACATTTTGAATATTCCTATTATTTGTTCTTCGTTTTCATATGAACAATTAAACAATCATATTTTACATAATATTACAAATAGATGACATTGGTATTTGTGATGATTCGTTGATATTCACTGGAATATATATTTTCAATTGATCAAGAAAACGAAGATACGTAGCGAGTGTCAATGGCGGAACAGTTGCATTGGCTATAACCTCATGTCTCATTGCCTGAAACATACTTTCTCGACTTATTTGACACATTGAATAGGCTTGATGTAGTAAATGACCATTGAAATCAGGAAAGACAGGTAGAAGTGATGTGAAATTGTTATTAATGAGAAATGAACGAACATGCTCTGTAGACCATGAATCAATGCAATGTGGAAGATCTCTTTAATAATAACAAAAAAAATGAATAAATAAATAGATTTTAATGAAAATTCACTAAACTCACATAACTAATTGATGTTGATTAACTACTGATGATGATGATGATGATGATTGTGGTGCCAATAATTGATGAGATGTTGTTATTGTTTTAGAATGAGCGTCAGCAGTATTTCGTTTCTTTTCAATTTCAGTTTTAAGAATTGAATAAGCCGAATCGAATTGAAATTTAGAAAAATCGACATAAATTTTGCCACTGACAATGATACCTAACCATCCGTCAGGTTTGTATTTTGTTTTCATAACGAGTGGTATCAATTTACATCGTCGTTCAAATGCATATTGAGCTTCTACTTGACAATATGGACTTTGTTTATATGCTTCTGACATACAAATAAATACGAATTCTGAATTTTCAATAGCATTAGCCATTGCTGTCATTGTATCACCATGGATTTGATCTCGATCAAGCCAAACATGAAATCCATCTTTAACAAGATTTTCATAAATTTGAAAACACATTTTTTTATCAATATGTGAATAGCTTAGCATTATATCAAATTTTTTATTCGAACAAGAAGAATCAGACTTTGTTACGATAGGAGTAGACATCTTTTGATCAAATTGCCAAAGTAAATGATTAGCTACTCGTTGTAAATTTTCTTCAGTTGAATTTTCTAATGTTTTGAGATAATTCATAAAATTCGTATCTTGTTCAAGTATTTTTAAAGCATCTTTGTTAAAGGAAAGTGCAAGTAAAATTTCTAATGCATATTGTTGAGTTTTTGTTTTATGAAAATTTGCTTCAATGACACATCGAATAAGTAATGGTATTATTCCTTGATTAATTAATTCTATTTTGATTTCTTTATGTTGTACGAGACCTAAATACAATTAAAAAACAATTTCAAATAAACAAAAAAATAAACTTACATTAAAAAGAACTTACTCTTTAGAGAATGAAGTAGACTATGAAAAGCTGTTTTCTGAATTGGATCATCAATCATACTAATAAAATATAAATAAAATAAGGCAACTATTTTATTGCCATTAGCAAGTCTTTTAATATCTTCTTCGTTCATAATTATCGACAAAATGCGATATGCATTGAAAGATATTTCGGCATCATCAGATTCACTCATTTTTAATAAGAGTGGTTTTAAAAATAAGTTATTTTTCATATAAACTATCATATCAATATTATACGTAAGATGACATAAAGTCGATAGAAGTGTTCGTTTTGTGATGGCAGTTCCTTGCTGAGCGAGCATTGATATACAATGATCAATAAGATGATAATAATTGTTATCAACAATATTTTCATCTGTTGTATTATCCGTAATCATAATATTCAAAGAAAGTAAACAGGC